CCGTCCACCAACCCCTGTGCTGCTACCGCTGAGGCTGCGGCAGCAGCAAAGGCAGACGCGTGCTGCTGCAGAAGCAGCAGCAGCAGCAACATCAGCAGCAAGGGAGGATGACGGAGTGGAGCAAGACTCTCCAACTGCAGCAGCAGCAGCAACCAATGCAGCAGCAACAGCAGCAGCAGCAGCAAGGGGCCTCAGAAGGGTGCATAGGGCTCCACCGCCGCCGCTGGCGAAGTGTCTCCCCACACCTGAACCTCCGTCTCCTTTGGCCTTCCCTCCTGCAGCAATTGCAGCAAGGAAGCGTCTTGCTGCTGCTGTCCTTGCTGCTGCTGCGGAGCTCAACAACAACAGCAGCAGCAGCAGCAACAGCAGCAGCAGCAGCAGCAGCAGCAGCAGCCATGCACCGGCGCCAAGCCCACGGAAACCGCCACCGTCGCCGTGCAGCAAAGTGCAGCCTGCTGATTGCAACAGCAGCAGCAGCAACAGCAGCAGCAGCAGCTGCAACAGCAGCAGCAGCAGCAGCGGTGCTGCAGGTGTTACGTTACCCATTCCGCACATCTCTGCTGCAACAACTGCAAAACAGCAGCAGCAGCAGCAAACGAAGCAACAGCACTCCCGCACTGGTGCGCAGCAGGCTGGCCGCCGGCTGCGGAGGCAAGAACGGCAGCAGCAGAAGCAGCAGCAGCAGCAGCGGCAGGTGCAGATGGCCGAGCAGGCGCAGCAGCAGCAGCTGCAGCGACTGGGTTTGGCAGGGAAGCAGGAGCTGCAGCAGCAGCAGCAGCAACAGCAGCAGCTGCTGCAGCAGCAGCCCACCGTGGTGGTGTCAGTGTGCAGACGCTACGTCCACATCCCGCTGCTGCGGCAGCAGCCGCTGCTAACGTTTGCAGACTCAAGAGAAGCAATGCATAACTGCTTAGGCTGCTCGCAGCCGCAGCAGCAGCAGCAGCAGCAGCAGCAGCAGCAAGGCAAGAGGCGTCTGGGGCTCTCAGCGGCGCTTCTGGGGGAGATCTGCTGCTTCCTGCCTATTCCAGATTTCTTCATCTTCAGACAGGTCAGTAACAGCAGCAGCAGCAGCAGCAGCAATAGCAACAGCTGCAGCAGCAGTGAGCAGCTGCAACTGCAGCAGTTAGAAGCAGCAGGATCAAAGCACACAGCAGCCAGCACAGGACGTATATGTCTAGCAGCAGCAGCAGCATCAGCATCAGCATCAGCAGCAGCAGCAGGAGGAGGTTTATTAAGGGTTGAAGTGGAGTCTGTTTCTCTGTTGTTGTTGGGGTGTATGCGCAGGTCTGCCGCGCGCACTGCAGCGCAGCAGTAGTCAGTCGCTACACCGCAAGTTTGAGGTTAAGAGAAGAAGACTTAGAAATACCTCGGCTGCCTCTCTATCTTCCGCTGCTGCAGCTAGCCAGACAAATAGACTGTTCTGCTGTTGCACTCCCGGGATCCGTATCCCCACTAGTAAGACACTGCTGCTGCTGCTGCTGTTGCTGGTGCTGCTGCTGCTGCTGCCGTTCTTGCTGTTGTTCCTGCTTTTGCCCGTGCTGTCTTTTCTGCTGCCTGTGCTGCTGCTGTTGCTGCTGCTGTTGCTGCTCGTGCTATAAAGCTCGGTGCTCGCTGCTGCTGCTGCTGGGAGTGGTTGCTGTGGGTTGCTGCTTCGGATATAAACTGCTGCTGCTGCTATTGCTGCTGCTATTTCTGCTGCTTCTGCTGCTTCTTCAGGCTATTCAGTTTGTTGCTGCTGTCAGTGAGGAGGCGCGGCGATTTGTATTTGCTGTTGGAGCATACTCCAATCTTGCGAAGTCTGTCTCCAGAGCATTCGGTAAAGCTGCTGCTGCTGCTGCTGCTGCTGCTGTTGCTGTTGCTGCTGCTGCTGCTGCTGCTACTGATCGATCTCCTTCTGCTGTTGCTGCTGCTGCTGCTACTGATCCATCTCCTGCACTTGGTGCTGCTGCTACCAAGCCTTCTAATGCTGTTGCTGTCGCTTTCATTGGTGCGGCTGCTGCTATTTCTTGTGTTGGTGCTGCTTCCTTTGCTGCTGTTGCTGATATTGCTGCTCTTGCTCCTGCTGCTCTTGCTGCTGCTGCTGCAGGGAGGAAGCCTGAAGTGTTGGTTTTAAGTGAAGACCAAGCGAGCTCTCCGTTCGCCTCTGCACACAACCCACGTGCTGAGCAGCAGCAGCAGCAGCAGCAACAGCAGCAGCAGCTGCTTGCTCTGAGGGGGCAGCAGCGGCTGCTCGAGCAGCAACAGCAGCAGCAGCGGCGGCCAGACCTCCAAGTGCAGCAGGGACAACAGCAGCAACTGCAGCCGCAACAGCAACAGCAGCAAACTCAGCTGCAACAGCAGCAACAGCAGCAGCAGCTTGTCTCCGATTCGTTGCAGCAACAGCCAGAGGGCTGGGAGCATCTTTCGGTGCGGCCGCAGCAGCAGATACGTTCAAGGCAGCAGCAGCTGCTGCAGCAGCAGCAGCTGTTGCTGCAACAGTTGCATCAACCTGAGCAGCAGCAGCAGCAGCAGCCGCAGCAGCTGCAGCAGCCGCAGCAGCAGCAACTCGAGTTGATTCAGAGGAGCGTTGCTTCCGCCCACCAGCGGACTCTGCAGCGGCTGCAGCAGCTGCTGCAGCTGCCGTCTATACGTAGCCAGCTGCAGCAGTTGCAGCAGCAGCAGCAGCAGCAAGGAGGAGGAGGTAGCCAGACGCTCCAAGATGCGTTGCTGCTGCAGCAGCAAATGGCAGTGCTGCAGCAGCAGCTGCAGCCCCGCGGGCTGTGGCTTCCCGAAGTGCTGCTACAGCAGCAGCAGGTCCGCAGCATCTTATCTCTGCCAAGGCCTCCTCTTGCTTCTCAGGCAAGCGCAGCAGCAGCAACAGCAGCAGCAACTGCAGCAGCAGCAGCAGCAGCACCCCCAACAGTTGTTGGAGCTTCCGGGTCTGCAGCAGCAAATTCTTTGCTGCCGCTACTCCGTCGATTTGCTGATGCTGCAGCGGCAAACAGTGAGTCTTCTGGTGTTGTTGTTGCTGCTGCTGCTGTTGCCGCTGCTGCTGTTGCTGCTGCTGCTGTTGCTGCTCCACGAGCACCCGTCTCTGCTGCTGCTGCGCATCTGGTCTGCTGCAGGAGCTCAGTCGTTGCTGCTGCTGGATGTTGCAGAAGCGCCTCAGCAGGTGCTGCAACCTGAACAGGAGCAGCAGCAGGTGCAGCAGCAGGTGCAGCAGCAGCAGGATCAGGATGAGCAGCAGCAACAGCAGCAACAGCAGCAACAGCAGGGCCTGGCAGCCCAGCAGCAGCAGCAGCAACTGCTGCAACTCAACGCCTCTACGTCGCCTACGGTGGCGTCGCCTTTGCCCGATCAGCCAGAGCAGCAGCAACAGCAACAGGAGCAACACCAGCAGCAACACGATCAGCAGCAGCAGCAGCCTCTCGAAGATGAGACGCAGCCTGCACCTCAAGCAGCAGCAGCTGCTGCTGCTGCTGCTTCTGCTGCTGAAGGTCGCCCGGTGTATCTCCGGCAGCAGTTTCTGCTCCGCGGAGAGCGGCGTGGGCGACTGCATTTAACAGCGGTGCAGCAGGAGCAGCAGCAGGAAGAGCTGCAGCAGCAACAGCAGCAGCGGCAGCAGCAGCAGCAGCAACAGCAGCAAAACAGCCCCCCAGGGACAGCAGAGGCGTCTCCATCTCCTCGCGGCTCTCTTACACCGCGAACCTCTTCGCAACCCTTTGCAGCAGCAACAGCAGCAGCAGCAGGTGCTGCTGCTGCTGCTGCTGAGGGGGGCGTTCCGCCGGGTGCTGCTACTGCAGCTGCTGCAGATGAAGGGCCTCTGTCAGCAGCAGCACCAACTGGAAGCCCTGCAGCAGCAGCAGCTGCTGCTGCTGTTGCTGCTGCTGCAGCAGCAGAACGACCTTGGGATGAACGCGTGCTGCAGGGGGTGTGGGGCGCAGCAACGGGCGGCGCAGCCCCCCCGGACGTAGCAGCAGCAGCAGCAGCTGCAGCAGCAGCAGCAGCAGCAGCAACAGGGCAGATGGCGCAGCTAGACGTATATGTTCATGGGCTTACACAAACCCCGCTGACCTATCGGATGCCTTTGGCAGTGCCTTTCAGGTAAACCCCCTCTAAACCCTAAACCCTAAACCCTAAACCCTAGCTGCTTCTAGGCGCTCCTTCACTGCAAACCGCAGCAGAACAGCAGCCTTAACTTTTGCGTTTGACTCTCCGCTGTCTAATACGCTGCTACTTGTTAGGCTTTACGGTTCTCTAGGAGGGTTTGGGGTTTGCTAGGGTTTAGGGTTTAGGGTTTAGGGTTTAGGGTTTGGTGCAGGAAGCTAATGCGCTACTACAAGGATCAGGCGGGGCTGCGAGATGATGTGGTGGAGTTTCTGTGGGTTAAGCGCAAAGTCGTCACACGGGTAAACCCTAAACCCTAAACCCTAAACCCTAGCAAACCCTAAACCCTAGCAAACTTTAAACCCTAAACCCTAGCAAACCCTAAACCGTAAACCCTAGCTAACTTGAAAGCCTAAACCCTAGTAAACCCTAAACCCTAGCAAACTTTAAACCCTAAACCCTAGCAAACCCTAAACCCTAGCAAACCCTGAACCCTTGCAAGCCCCGAACCCTACTAAACCCGAGACCCTTAGCCTGAGAAAACTTTGAACTCCAGCAAACCCTAAACCCTAAAACCCTAAACCCTAAATGCCTCGACCCAACGAAGCCCTAAGCCCTAAACAAACCTTAAATGCAGCCAAACCCTAAACCCTAACAAGCTTTAAACCCTAGCAAACCCTAAACCCTTTAAAACCCTTTTTAATTGGTATCAAGCGTAAACCCCACCACCGCGTAGCTTACTGAACCCTAAGCCTAGATCGCGTAAACCCTAAACCCTAATTCTCTCATTGAAACCCTAACGAAGGTAGAGAGGTGTTTTGTTTGCGCGAAAGACTTCGCTAGGGTTTAGGGTTTAGGGTTTATTATTAGGATTAGTTTAAGGTTCGGTAGAGTGTATGATGGTTTGATGGGCGTCTCTAATCGAAGGGCTTGTGAGGGTTAATGAGGATTGATTAGGGTTTAGGGTTTAGGGTTTAGGGTTTGTGCTGCTGCAGCTGCTGCCCGATCTAAGCCCCATCGATTACCGCATGCAGCGAGGGCAGCTGCAGCTATTTGCTGAGGCTCGTCCGTCTCTTCAATATGCACAGAAGGTGTGGATCTCTCTTTTTATCGAAGGTAATTTAAGGGTTTGCTGCTGCATTGAGGGTTTATTCTTCAGGGTTTAGCAGGGTTTAGTTCACGAGGGTTTTGCAGATACTGTCGGGGCCTCTTAGGGTTTATGAGGGTGTAGTATTAGGGTTTGTGAGGGTTTATTAGGGTTTGTCAGGGTTTATTAGGGTTTATTAGGGTTTAAGGCCTTGGGTGCTTGGTTTAGGGTTTAGGTGTTAGGTTCTAGGGTTTAGGGTTTAGGGTTTAGGGTTTAGGGTTTAGGGTTTGCTGCCTTCAGGCTCGGAGGAGGCTCCTTATCTTCCTCGTTTGCGTTTCAATGCCAGCATGATGACTCCCTTCTCGTAAACCCTAAACCCTAATATCTAGACCCTAAACCCTAATACCTACACCCTAATATCTAAACCCTAAACCGTTAAATATAAACCCTAAGCCTTAAACCCTCAGAGTTAGACAGGAACACTGCTTTCTCAGCTCTAGGCCCGGCTATTTGCTGCTGATGTCGCTACTGCTGCTATTGCTGCTGCTGCTGCTACTGTTGCTATTGCTGCTGCTGCTGCTGCTGCGGTGTATTAACAGGCGACTCTCTGAGAGCTACAGCAGAAACGTTGGGGTTGCCGAGGGAGATTTGCTGCTGTTTTACTCTGTACGTTACGTGGACCTGCTGCTGCTGCTGCTGCTTCTGTTTGTGTCGCCTGGTGCTGCTGCTGCTGCTGCTGCTGCTGCAGCAATAAGCACACCATTAAGTGGAAGAGGAGGCAGTTGAGCTTGCAGCACTAGACCAACGGAAGCATGGCTGCTGCTGTTGTTTCTGCCGCCGCAGCTGCTGTTGCTGCTGCTACTGCTTCTGCTGCTGCTGCTGCAGTGTTGTGGCTGTCGTTGCTGCTGTTGCTGCTGCAGCGGGAGCAATACACGGTTCAAATAAACCTCAGCAAATGCCCACTGGATTATGACGTTAGGGAAAATGATGTAGTCAAGGTCAGTTTGCTGCTGCTGCTGCTGCTGCTTCCCCTGCTGCTGCTGCTGCTGCTCCCCTTCCTGCTGCTGCTGTCGCTGTTCTTGCAGTTGTTGCTGCTCCTGCTGCTCCTTCGCACCACATCTCCTGTGTCGCATCCCAGCGCTGCTACGCGTGCTGCTGTTGTTGCTGTTGCTGTTGCTGCTCTTGTTGTTGCTGCTAATGTTGTTGCTGCTATTGCTGCTGCTATTGCTGCTGCTGCAGGCTGAATTGAGGCCTGGAGCTGCTGTGCCTGTAGCCCTGGCGGAGCAGTACGAACAATCGCAGCGTCAGCTGCTGCAGCGACAGAACCACGTGCACTAGCTGCAGCAGCAGCAGCAGCAAATATTGCTGCTGCTGCTGCTGCGGGTTGTGCAGCAGACAGCAGCAGAAGGGGCATTCGGTCTCCTGCTGCTGCAGCCAACTCTCTACCGTCGCGGCGCTGTTTGCTGCGTTATCCCCTGCTTCTGCTGCTGTTCCTACTGCTGTTGCTGGTGCTGCTGCTGCAGTGCTACGCTGCTCAGGTAGCAGCAAAGGGATTGATTGCAGTGCAGCAGCAGAAGCAGCAGCAGATGCTGCTGCTGCTTCTGTTGCTACAGCTGGTGCATGCATCGTAACGCGCAGCAAAGTGCAGACTGCTCCTGCAGCAGCTGCTGCTGCTGCAGCAGCAACGGGAGATGCAGCAGCTGCAGCAGCAACAGGAGCAGCAGCTGCTGCTGCTGCAGCTGCAGGAGAGCTCGGTGTTACGTTGGTAGTTTGGGCTTTTGTCAGTTTTTGTGGTTTCCCTCTGCGAAATCATCAAAACCCTAAACCCTAAACCCTCGTCTTGTTTTTCTCTAGGGTTTTGCTGTTTTAGTGCGTCCTAGGGTTTAAGGCTTAGAGTTTAGGGTCTAGGGTCTAGAGTTTAGGGTTTAGGGTTTACTGCTTAGGGTTTAGGGTTTAGGCTCTAAGGAATATTGATTTCCTTGCTAGGATTATGGTTTAGGGTTTACTACTGTGGGGGGTTTGCTGTTTAGGGTTTAGGGTTTATTTAGGGTTTAGGATTTGCTTAGGGTTTAGGGTTTATTTAGGGTTTAGGGTTTATTTAGGGTTTAGGGTGTATGCATGCAATTTGCTGCACCAGTTGGCTGCTGTAGCAGTGCAGCCTACGGCCCTTAAACCCTCACCCCAGCAGCAGCAACAGCAACAGCAGCAGCAACAACAGCAACAGCAGCAGCAACAACAACTAAGCAGAAACAACTGGAGTAGCAACAAAACCTGCAGCAGCAAGTGCAGCAACAGCGAAGCCAACAGTAGCAGCAGCAGCAACAACACCAGCAGCAATGACAGCAACTCAAACAATTATACGAATTAACAGAATAACTTTTAGCGTTTAGAGCTCATCATTATAAATATAGCCCGCCTGAAAGCCGCTTCTGCTGCTGCTGCTGCTGCTGGTGCTGCTGCAGCTACTGCTGCTGCGAAGCAGACAAGCTAAGACACCCCAGGCGTATAGAAAGAAATGAATTACTTTGAAAATAAAACGAAAGTACTGCTGACAGAGGTCGGCGGTTGCTGCAGCTGCTGCATGCGGCTGCAACATCATCATCAGCAGCAGCAGCAGCAGCAGCTGCTGCTGCTGCTGCTGCTGCTGATCCTGCTGCTGCTTGCAGCTGCGCATTCACTCGCTATTTGTGTTTGGCTGACGAAGACAAATTATTAGAAACTAACAAGTATCAGTGTCATCTATTTGCTGCAGCAACTAACTGCAGCAGCAAGCAACAGCGCCTGCTACCCAAGCCGCAGCAGCAGCAACAGCTGCAGCAGCTAGAACAGCAGCAGCAACCTAATTCGCTGCGGAAGCACTTCCGCACACTGCAGCAGCAGCATGCTGTCGTGTACACAGCAGATACTGCAACTAACCCCATGCGGAAGTGCTCCTTAGCAGCACCGCAGCAGCAGCAGCAGCAGCAGCAGCAGCGGTAGCGGCGGCAGCGGCGGCAGCGGCGGCAGCCGCAGCTGTTTCTAGGCGCCAAGGCGCCCTTCTGCTGCTGCTGCTGCTGCCATTGCTGCTGCAGCCCTAGCTGCTACTGCTGCAGTTCTAGCCGCTGCTGCTGCTGCTGCTGCTGCTGCTGCGAAGATGATTCCGTTGGGTGCAGCGAGCAGCCGCTCCCTCCCACAGCGTTACAGGTAAGGCCAGAAGCAACAGAAGCAGAAGCAGCAGCAGCAGTATATCTCAGCAGTAGCAGCAGCAGCAATATACCTCAGTGGTAGCAGCAGCAGCAGCAGCAGCCACATCAAAGCAGTTCTCGCTGCTCTTGCTGCTTGTGACGTGCTGCGTGGCAGGGGGAGGCTTCATAGACGTGTAGGCAGCAGAAACAGCAGCAACAGCAGCAGCAGCAGCAGGAACGACATCAGCAGCAGCAGCAGCCGCAGCAGCAGCAACGACAGCCTTCTCAGCAGCAGCAGCAGCCGGGCGTTGTTTCCACTCCCAAGCCGCAGCAGCAGCAAACGAACCAATTGTTTGCGCAGGACGCAGCAGCAACTGCATCAGCAGCAGCAGCAACAGCTGGAGCAGCAGCAAGCTAGCACGGACTCTGACTCAGCAGAGACATACTTGCCTTCGAGCCGTCGTCAGAAGCAGCAGCAGCAGCAAGAGAAGCAGCAGCTGCTTTCTGGCTGCAGCAAATCAACTTCTTTGGGTTTTCCGACGCAACAGCCTCAGCAACAGCGGCAGCAGCAGCAGCAGCAGCAGCAGCAGAATGCGTTTAGTGGTTTGCTGCGCTGCCTACCCGTGTCCCCACAAGGCCTTCCTGTCTTTCTTGTTTCTTACTTTGCTTATTCGTCGTTATACAGCACACGAAAGCCTTTAAGCGTTGTTAAAGGAGCTCTTAATGCTTCTGTAGGATTATCTATGCAGACTCTAGGGTGTATAGACACATCGTTCCTAGGCTGCTATGCTGTGGGGCAGCTGCTGCTCCCGCTGCTGCTTGCTGCAGTGCCGCAGCGCAGCTTTGCTGCCCTTACTGCTGCTTGCTTCATGCTTTCTGCTGCTGCTACAGCAGCTTTTGGATGCTGCAGCAACGGATACTTGCTGCTGCTCCTCTGGGGCTTCAATGGGTTCGCGCATGCACCGCTCTTCCCGCTGCTGCTGCAGTATGTCTATGCTGCTGTCAGTCCTGAAAGCAGAGGCGCAGCACTCGGGCTGTGGACCACCTCGCAGCAAACAGGTACTGCTGCTGCTGCTGCTGCTATTCCTGCTGCTGCTATTCCTGCTGCTGCCGCTGCTCCTTTGATGCTGCTGTTGCTGCCGCTGCTCCTATGCTGCTGCTGCTGTTGCTGCCGCTGCTCCTATGCTGTTGCTGCCGCTGCTGCTGCTCCTATTGTGCTGCTGTTGCTGCTGGTGCCGCTGTTACTGTTGCTGCCGCTGCTCCTTTTATGCTGCTGCTGCTGCTTCGTGCTTGCTGGTGGTGCTTTTGTGATGCTGCTCTTGTGCTGCGGTTGTGCTGCTGCTCATTTGCTGCTGCTGTTGCTGCTGCTGCTGCTGCTGCTTGTCCTTTCCGCTGCGCCTGCTGGGGTAACTTCATTCGTCTGCGTTTTGCTGCTTTGCGTTTGCTGCTGCTGCTGCTGCTGCTGCTGCAGGGGCCATGGCTTCCACTGCTGTTGCTGCATTGGTGGAGGCTGCACTGGGGTGGCGTCAGGTCTTCTTCTGTGCTGCAGCAACAGCAGCAGCAACTTCTGTGATGCTGCTGTATCTGCTGCCGTGGAGCAGCCAGAAGGCCCTGCAGCAGCAACAGCAGCAGCAGCAGCAGCAAGCGGAACAAGAGGGTCTCGAGGAAGCCGCTGCGGCAGCAGCAGCAGCAGAAGATAATTTGGACGTTCAGCAGCAGCAACAGCAGCAGCAGCAGCAGCAGGGAAGCATGGAGCAGGAGCAGGCGATTTGGGAATGGGGTCCGCAGCAGATGCTGCTGCAGCAGCAGCAACTCGCTCTGCTGCAGCAGCAGCTGCACTCTCCTGACTGTCTCGTTTGCTTCCAGCCTCAAGAAGCTGCTTGCATAGAGATGGGGGGTACGGGCGAGAGCAGCAGCATAGCAGCAACAGCAACACCGCCTGAGCAGGGGGCCCTTGCAGACACAGAGAGCAGCAGCAGCAGCAGCAGCAGCACTAGCCCCAGCAGCAGCAGCAACAGCCCAAGCAGCAGCAGCAGCATCAGCAGCAGCAGCAGCCCCCTCCACGGCTTCTACTACTCCACTGCTGCGGCATTCACCTCCGCAGTTACGCCTTGTACTGCTGCTGCTGCTGCTTCTGCTGCTGCTGCTGCGGCTCACGCTCCCGGGCAACGTGCAGCAGCAACAAACCGAAGCAGGAGCCAAGTGCTGCCTCCCCTGCAAGCAGCAACAGCGCCTGCAGCAGCAGCAGCAGAAGCAGCAGAAGCAGCAGCTCCTTGGGGGCGTCAACCCCCCCGTGGCCGTTCTGCTGCAGCAGCTGCAGCAAATCAGCTGCAGCAGCTGCTGCAGATGTTTTCGGTTGCCTCAAGCAGCAGCAGCAGCCGTCATTTGCGTGGAGGGACAGCATTACGTTGCACTCGCAGCGGCAGCAGCAGCAGCAGCAAGAACAGGAGCAGCAGGAGCAGCAGCAACTTGCGGCGTGGGAGCAGCAGCAAGCAGCGCGTTGCTGGGGGATTGCTGCAGCAGCACCAGGCCCGCGGCTTGATTTGTTTATCTGCTGCTGCTTACTTCTTCATTAAGCTTATCCGATATAGTTTGCTGCTGTGGCTGCCCTTCTTTCTCTCGCAGCAAGTGCATATGTCTGCTGCTGCTGCTGCTGCTGCTTCCATACCCTTCGATATAGGGGGGATGTTGGGCGCAGTTGCTGCGGGTTTTGCTGCAGATAAACTCTGCTCAGGTGCATTCTTGCTGCTGCTGCTGCTGCTGTTGCTGCTGCTGCTGTTGCTGCTGTAGCTGTTGCTGCTGTGCTGTCGAACAGAGTTATTTTCTTGCTGCTGCTGGTGCTATTATTGTTGCTTTCAATTGCTGCTGCTCTTGCTTTCTAGCAGCATCTGCTGCTGGACACTATTGTTCTTACTGGTGCTGCTGCTGCTTGTGCTGCTGCTTCTGCTGCTGCTGCAGGGAGGAGACTAACGTGTGCTGCAACAATGAGCCTTGCTACTGGATTTTGTTTGCTGCTGCTGGCACTGTCCTGTCAACAGCAGCAGCTGCTGCGCGAGCAGCACCAGGAGCAGCAGCAGCAGCAGCAAGCAACCCTGCAGCAGCTGCAGCAGCTGCAGCAGGAAGCCGTTATGCTGCTAGAGCAGCAACACAAACGGGCTAAGCTGCAGCTGCCGCTGCAGCTGCAGCAGACGCTGGATAGGGTGCAGCTTCTTGAACAGGAGCTGCAGAGGCAGCACCACCAAGTGCAGCAGCATCAGAAGGAACAGCAGCAGCAACAAGTGCAGCAGCAGCAGCTGCAGCAGCAGCAGCAGGACTCTCACGAAGTGCAGCAACAGCAGCAACAACAACAGCAGCAGCAGCAAGAGCCACCATCGCCTACGCCAACTGCGCAGCAGCAACAACAGGAACAACAGCAGCCGCAGCAACCCTTGCAGCAGCAACTGCAGCAGCAACAAGTGCAGCAGCAGCAAGTGCAACAGCAACAACCTCAGCAGCAGCCACAGCAGCAACTGCAGCAACCCCTGCAGCAGCCACAGCCGCAGCAACCCCTGCAGCAGCCACAGCCGCAGCAACCCATGCAGCAGCAGCAGCCGCAGCAACCCATGCAGCAGCAGCCGCAGCAACCCCTGCAGCAGCAGCAGCCGCAGCAACCTCTGCAGCAGCAGCAGCCGCAGCAACCTCTGCAGCAGC